CCACAGGGTAGTATTTTAGGGCCTTTGTTATTTGTGATTTACATAAATAACTTGCCAAATGTGCTTAACTCCTGCTACGCGTCACTTTATGCAGACGATACTGTGATTTATTGCTATGGTACATCCTCAAAGGAGTTGAGTGATAAGTTAAATAACGATCTACTAGGTGTGGCGAAATGGCTTCATGATCACAAACTGACTTTAAATTTGGACAAAACTAAATGCATGCTTATCGGTAGTAATAGGAAACGCGAAAGCAAAGTAGATTTGTCTGTTTCAATTTTAGATCATAGTGTAAGTAATGTTCGCAGCTTTAAATACCTCGGTATACATATATCTTCGGATTTCACATGGACTGATCATATTGAACACCTAACTGGGAAAATCAATCAGAGGCTTGGGCTTCTCAAGCGTATAAAGCATTTATTGCCTTTCAGGGCGCGTTTACTTTTCTATAAAGGTCTTGTTATGCCCCTTTTTGAATATGCTGATCTAGTATGGGGCGATAAACATAATATTACCCTTATGTCTAGTTTGCAAGTTTTGCAAAATAAGGCCGCTAAAGTTATTTTAAATAGACCATTGTACTCATCCTCCACTGAGGCATTAGCCGTTCTCAAGTGGCTGCCTCTAGAGAAAAGGCGATTTCAAAGAAGGTGTGTACACGTATACAAATGCATCAATGGCCTAATTAATCACAATATGGACTTGATTAGACAAGACGTACTTCATAGGCATAATACACGTAACAAAGGCAATTTTAGATTACCACGTGTCAAAAGAAATTGGGGGAAGCAAAGAACACAATATCATGCCGTTTCCGATTTTAACTCCCTCAGTCAGACGATCAAAGACTCAAAGATTGTCAATAGTTTTAAACGTAATGATTTTAAGTTTTTAATATAGCTACTTACGTTTAATTTTTTATACTTATTTTAAATTTTTTATGCATTTTTTGTATCCTTTTAATCCCTTTACAATTTTATTGATTTTTTGTTTTTACTATATATATCTAGTTTCGAGGTCCTTTTTGAAAACCATATTTGTTATGAAAAAGTTTCCTCAATAAAGATGATTATTATTATTATACGGTATGAAATGTTCGAAAATACATTTTTCAAGTTAAAAAGCTTCCCAAAATAGTCAGCTTCCAAAAAAAACATTTAAATCACAAAGCTCACCTTTGAAAGAATTAACAAGTACATATTTTGCGTATAACTATTTTTCAGATGAACCCGCCTACTTGGGCTGTTTCCGTGACAATCTCCCCAGGGATCTCGAGGTATACATTCCCACCCACCCGGCCACCATCGGAGCATGCGTGGATACGTGCAAGTGGCAAGGGTTTAGCGTTGCAGCTTTGCGTAATTCAGATTTGTGCTTCTGTGGAAATGCTTACCGGAAGGCAAATCAAGTACCAGATGCAAAATGTGATATGCCTTGTTACGACAACTCATTTGAAGTATGCGGTGGATTTATGACTTTTTCACAGTATTGGACGGGTAAGAAGAAAAGCAAAAATACGCTTACAGTAAACCCTTCCCTAAAATAAAAAAGATGCTACCGAACAGCATACAGAACAGAACATCGAAGGCTTGCTGAAACAGGTTCTGTCTGATCAGAGGGAATTCTCTCTCTAGACAGAGAAAACTGAGGGAAACTTTTGTAATAGTTGTTATATAGGTCCCAGTATCTACGATATAGCGTTGTATGTGTGCACGATCTATCTGAATACCATGTATGTAAATGTAAAGAATAAGAAACTGGGGCGGACCCAGGATTTAGTCAAGGGGGGGTTCGGAGAATTGTCCGAGGGCATGCTCCCCCGGGAGATTTTGAATTTTAGGTCTTCGGAAACATGATTTCCAGTATTTTGAGGGAAAATTTAGGGGGTTCGACCCAACCACCCGAACCACCCCTGGATCCGCCTCAGAGAAAGGTGGTAAGGTTTGAGCTCGGTAAAGAAATATAGAAATATGTTTTTCGTCTAGTCACTAGAGTGAAACAAAGGAAACATTTTGAGTCCCCATGAGGAATTGAACCTCAGACCTTCGGATTCAAATATGAACTTCGTAATGGGCCTTGCTCACCATATGAATCTCTGTGGCTCATGCAGTGCTAGAGCATCGGAGAGCGGATTCTCTGTGGTTCATGCAGTGGTAGAGCATCGGAGAGCGGATTCTCTGTGGCTCATGCAGTGGTAGAGCATCGGAGAGCGGATTCTCTGTGGCTCATGCAGTGCTAGAGCATCGGAAAGCGGATTCTCTGTGGTTCATGCAGTGGTAGAGCATCGGATAGCGGAATCCGAAAGTCTGAGATTCGATTCCTCATAGGGACTCAGAACTTTTTCTTTATCCCATGCTCATGACAAGACGAACAACATTTTTCTACATGTATGTAAAGTAATTCAAACCCGCAAAAATAGACATAATTGTCATTTCATAGATCTTCTTCACACAAGCGTGTTCTAAAGAACATTTATTGACGTTACTGTGAAAGTATTTTTCTGATTCACGGTTCAGGGTTCATTCCATCATTTATTTTGACTGTCTTGTATTTAATAATGAAGGTATGGCCAGCCTAGATTAGCTCAGACAACCTATGTGCTTTCATAGAACTTCAGTTTCTCAACTTAAAGTTTTTATATTCGAAATAAATTGTGCTACGATTTCAACAATCATTTTTTTCTTTTACATTTTCATTTTAGGAATTGTGGACTCTCCGCCTGCTGGAGGATTTCCTGGTATGAAAGTAAACATTTAATTCGGGGGATGCTGCAACAATTCATGAAAAATTATTTTTGACTTTGCATAACATATATATGCGGCTTGTAGTTTTATACCTCATCATTATACTTCATCGATCATTAGCGCAATTTTCAAATGAGTGACAGAATACGGAATTGCATGGGTTTGCTTTAATCCGCTCTGTGATTGGTCAAAAACCATCACAACTTAGTCGCCCGAGTTTTCTCACACTTTCCGTAGTTTGCTTGGTTTTGCCTTGAGTTCCCATAATATAGTTCCCAAGGGTTTTTTCCTTTCATCTGATTGGGCAAGAAAAGCCCTGAATTAAAATTCATTCTTGATTAATGGATTCAACGGAATCAAAAGCCAAACACATCTCGTGTTCCATTTAATGAGCTATTCACCTCGACCTGTTTGTAATATGATTCAGGTTTGGATGAAAAACAACCAATTCATTTTGTCGTGTTGATTTCAATTTTCTATACTGATTCCATAACTTATTTTTTCGTACAGGGATACAGAAGCATTTCATTCCATCAAATCATCCAATTCCTTGGCAACTACTTATGCACGGTAAAATAGATTTTAATGAATCTCTTAGCAACAGGTTAAAACTTTCAATTTGGCCCCGTGTCTTGTACTCTTTAAGTAAATTGCATTAATTCCCTCATTTGTCACCTCTTTTCCCGAATATTTCAATTAATGGAAAGTATTTTTTTCTCATTTAGTGTCAAATTAAGACGTGTTACATTAATTAGTTCCGAACTGAATATCTTCGCTCAGTTCTCACAAAAGTTGATTTTCCACAGTCAGGTGGTGACTTAGAACAGCGCTTAAAGGCCATTATACATATCGTAAATGTTACTCTCTTGATCATAGCTCGTTCAAGATACCCTCCCCGAAACATGCCTGGATCAACGCGCGGTGCGGCCTGGTACCAATCGTATCCGTACAAAGGTACGAGTTGACTGAGGGGAATTACATAAGTTATACCTTGTGATATCTTGTTATCTATATTGACCGTTTTTAAGTTATCAGTTGGTACACAATAAAAGTAAATTTTCTTTCCCTAGGAATGCAGCTAGTGAGCGGGTGGAGAAATTATCCCTCGTCATACCAAGGTTCGAAAACGTATCTTAATTGCAGCCTTCTTTGACAATGTGAGAGGTCCTGTACATACTTATGCCAAAATTAAGAGTTTCCAAATTTTCAATTTCGCGTAATTAAACTCTTTTCTGTACCAACCTACAACCTGGTAGTCACTCAATCCCGAGGTGCTCGATCATTTACCCGCATGCCTGAAAACAAAGTTCTCTTCGGGACCTTAGAACCAAGGGGGAGGGGGAAGAGACTCAGTAGTTGAATGGTTAAACGCGTCAAAGTTTTGATTGAGACGTCCGGTATACTGCCCCTGACTTGGGTCCATACGGAGTGTTCTCGACATTCTCTCCCCTAGAGCTAGATGTTTGTTGGTGAAAACTGGTTTTTAAGCCGGGGGAGGAGGGGAAGAAAGGAAGGGGGAGGCGGCCTGAAACTGAAGTATTTACAACCAACTAACTTCATGTCTAATGGAGCAATGAACAATTACTTCCGGTACTTTTCTACTATGCTACAGTAATTAGTAACTTCTTTCACAGATAGAGGCTCCTTAGCTCCTTTTAACCTCTTCAGTCGAATTCTATAATTTCAAATAGTAATTTAAAACCTTTCATTTGCCCCTCTTCTACGATGTGATTCTTTCACTTATATGAAATTCTCTCTGTGTATTTTTTTTTTCCGCAGGTAAACTATTCTACCCACCGAGTGGTTATCAAGGATATCAACAGTATTATGGGGCGAAACCATGTAAGTATATTTCAACATGTTCAAGGTGACACATTGAAGAGTATCTCAGGTCAAAAGAGACTTCTATCTTCTTTCAGATACGACAAATTATAACGCCAATCATTTTCAACAGCCCTCTTCGGCATATAGTTACCAAGCAGAAGGTAGGTTTTTTTCCACACATAATCTATTCGCTTGTTTATCCATCTAGTTCGATCTGTATATCAATGCCTAATCACGGTTTCATCATTTACTCTCATTTTCTGTTGACTACGAGCAGTCCTTCCTTTTCGGCGAAGTCCATCGCGCAAGTCAAAGCAAAAATCAGCGAAAAAAAATGACGTTACTGCGCCGCTAGGAGTTCTGGGAATTCCGCGCGTCGCGATAACATCAGTTTTTGACGCTGTTTTTTTTTTTGACTCGCGCGACGGACTTCGCCGCAAAAAGCAAAAATATTCGTAATCTAAATTTTCCAGTTTGTTTTTCATGGACGTTTAAATTTGTTCTTTCATTTTGTAACTGTTGGTTAGTTGCAAATAACCAGGCAAAAGTATACGGTGCTTACCAAGGTCAAGCATACCGCTGGCCTTACAACTACAACAGCTACAAGTATAGCGACTACAACGTTCAAAAGGGAGCCACGAACAGACCATACAGCAGTAAGAACTGTCTTCTGTAATTATTTCTAATTTCATATGAAGGAAAAGGGTTTAGGCATCCTTTCGATAGAAGTGACAGTGAAGGTTACATTTCAGGGAAAGGAACGAAAAAGGCGTGATGGTATCCACCCATCTAAGAATTGGTGCTTTAAATAAAGTAACATTATTTTGAACCATCTTTAGGCACCAAATAGGACCAAATTTGCATACTCGATATGAGAAAACTTCAGTTATTGAAAGCTCCAAAAAGGAGCATGCTCACATGCTACGAAACAAAGATGAGGTTGTCTGAAGCTTCTTTCCCTAACCAGGTAGATATCTTGTTCACGACAGGCGTTTCAGTTTATAGTAGAGTCCTCTCCTTGCAGGTTATCAGAAAACGTATCAAAAGAGACCCGCACACAGACCCTCGCCACAGGAACACGCAAAATTGATGGGTAAGAAATTTGACAAGGGTGAAGTGCAAATGAACGGAAGGAGAGATGAAGATTCCCTAAGACAATATCGATTGGAGAATGTGCTTATAAAAGAAACCAAAACGTCAGTGATATAAAATACGTGAGATCATCGCCGAAGTTTGTCAAGCAATAGTTGTAGTTGGGAATTTCTTCGAGAAAAGATTGTTTGTATGTGAACGAGCCTAACTCAAGTGGTTTTGAATGCTAACTACATATACGTCGACAGCTTTCTACACTGCAAAATTAACCACTTCTAGACGACGTCACTAAGTAGTGTTAATAACCTTTAACAAGCTAGTGGACGACTGAACAATAAAATAGGTGAAAGAAAAAACAACAATTAACGCATCTTACCCAACTGCATGTTGCATGTTGCATGTTGAAAAGAACTGCATGATTTCTTTCCACAAAGGTATGCTCAAAAAAGTCAGTTGGAAACTATTCAAAGAAATCACTGGAACATCTAAGTTAGGTACGAATGAAAACATGGAAAGCTTGACAGCAGCCGTACGTTCACATAAGAGTGTATGTGTGGTGACTATGACTGAGCATCTGTTCAATAAAAACGGAATTTTTCATTTTTCAACTAAAAGTTTATCTAGTAAATTTGGTTTTATCAACTGCGTTGATAAAATAAATTGGCTACCGTAAGGAGTTTCTAAGCTGACATTTCGATCGTTAGCGCTTCGTTACTCGCTCTGAAACGTCAGTTTAGAAAAACTTCTCATGGTGGCCAATTTACATCATCGACTCGGTTGATAAAACCAAATTATCTTGCTATACTCCCTCGCCGACGTAGTATCACAGCTTCTTCCTAAACTTAGCCCCTTTATCTAAAGTTTATCTACTCAATTTGTATTTCAACCGTCACGAATTTCCCTTTAATATAGTGCTAGATCGACTAAAAAAAAACGCATGACAACCATAACAGTTCCTTTAAAATCCAATTAGTCAGAAAGATGTTGCATGTCTTCATTTATATCAATACTCCATAATGAGGCAAAGATTTACGAACTGAAGTAGAATTCACTTTTTTATTATTCTAAAATTTATTACCGTATGATACGACTGTACTTTAGTCTTCAAGTCTTATTCCTAAAGACATACTGTTTAGCTTTTGTTGTTGTTGTTGTTGTTGTTTACTTAGCGTTGGCTGCTCCTCGATTCCTGGGTTGTTATCAAGATTCCGAGTCACGTGATCTACCCACGGAAGTTCCTGTCAAACCGCTGACTGTAGAAGGCTGCGTCTCTAAGTGTGGAGAAACTGGATTTTCTATCGCTGGTCTCCAGTCCTCGACGCAATGCTTCTGCGGCTCCACGTACAGCAAGTACGGGAGGCTCAACGATAAGCAATGCTCGATGCGTTGTACTGGAAACTACCAGGAAATATGCGGTGGAGTCATGATGAACTCTCTATACTACACAGGTAAAATAACAAGTTTTTTTTAATCATCCACAACTCTTTTATGAAAATAAGAAAAAAAGAAAAAAAATCCTTCACTCTTGATCTCCTTCACTTGGTGTGTACTTAAAGGCAGACAAGTAGTCGCTTAAAACTCAAAACTATAGGATCAGTATGATGGTAAATGTTTTGACGCCGCTTGTAATACATGCTTCTCGGGTGCTCGTCTCTTCTCGACTTATAGTTTTCATGATTCTCTTTATTTCAGGCGTCGGTCAGGCCATTCCAAATACAACACCATCTGGTGAGTCGCTGTTCACCAAGAGATTCAAACGAAACTCTTGTTAGGGTCACCCTCCCTATCTGTTAGCAGTTTAACACAGAAACAAACACCTCTGCAACCAAGACCTGCAGTCATTCCCTGACATTCCAATTTTTGAAACATTACTCATTTTTAAACAGTAAATCATTTCACAAAGCGCGGGCGAAAGAAATTATGTCAAATAGACCTTTTTTTTTTTCTAATAATCAGACAGAATTCCAAATAAAAATTTAAAACAATTTCTTTGAAACAAATGTAAATATTTTCATACCATTGAAGAAACGACTGATAGACTGTCAGGAAAGGTTCAATTTTTGTCGTTTGCCTTTTTACGAGAAACTGAAGTAGCCCTAAGTCTAGGTGTTCCTTCAATTCTTCTTAGGTCTGACACTTTGTATCAGTCTGAATTGTGTCCTTGTTAAAGAGGTTTGAGTAGTAGTTCTACTTTGTCTCGTATAATCTTAGTTACAGGTATTCGAACGAACGAGGAGAAATTAGTGCTTGTGAAAGGGAAGGTGTTTGGCACAAAGTGTTTCAACTACTACGAAGCGACGAAAGCAAGAAGGGAAAATCACCTCAAAACTTGACAAGTTGTTTTTTTCTTTTTCTGCAGTAGATCTAAGGACTCAACAGATCACCTACACCAAAAACACGCCTCTAAGCTCCTATACAGAAAACCAATCTAAACACAAGCCAAGACCTCTTGTGCCGATGAAGCCTTCACCTTTTCACAAGCTGCGTTTGCCAAAAGCCAAGCCTAAAGCTACTAAGGTCAAAGATAAAACTTTAAAGATCAAGCCCAAGAAAATAACACAATCAAAACAAAAAGAAGACGAAAGTAAAGGAAAGCCACTACCGATGCAGGATTATGCAAAGTTGACAAAGATGCTTCAAATGTTATCGCGATGGCAACAGCCACAACCACTTAAGTTGAAGCCTGTTCATAACGTAGCGAAGGTGAAACCCACTCTTAGCTACCAGGAGCTGAGGAAAGTGCTTGAGGACATGACTCCAGATATTGTCAAAAAAATTGCCAACCAAATTATTGCTCATGACCGGAACAAAACTAGACTGAGCGACATGAAGCCCTTGTCTGCCGAAAAAAGTTTAGAGGTGCACTTGGCGAGCAAACTGGCAGGTAATAAAGATGCGGGGTTTAAAAGAGTGCATGTGAAGAGCCCTAACTTCAAGAATTGGAGTAACAAGGGGAATTATAGATCTTCGTCAAAAGTGAGGAACAAACATGAGGATGCTGTACTGGAGGACGATGCTCAACCTTTACAGTTCGATAAAAACGGCGACGCAGCAAAGGCACTACCGAAAAACACTTCAAAACAAATTTTATCCAAAGGAAAAGACCCGAAAGTATCATCGTCGGTGTCAGAAACTGGAGACAAAGACGTCCAAGGTGATTTAGAAACAAATGAGGATCAGTTGCCCGTGGCAAACAATAAAATAGGCAGTGACACAGAAGAGTCTCTAAGATACTCAACACAAAGGATTTCTTCCGTTCAAACCACAGATGGAAATAAAACACATCGCTTACCTTCATTTATTCCTATTGCCGACAAAAGAAGAAAACACAAATTGAAACACAAAACGAAGCAATCTTCCCTCTTACACAGTCAACTAGAAGAAAGTACACAAAATCAGCCTCATGATGATTCAAAATCAGATGTACAATCTAACAAACGAACATTCGTGAATTTCATCATAACAGAAAGTCACAACAAGAAAAAGAAACCTCTCAAGACAAAAAACGACTCCCTACGAAAGAATGCAAATCACAGAAAAATTGCACACACAGCTGCAGCGAATGTCTCTAGTAACCAAGAAAAAGTACACGCTCTAGAGAAGGATTCGGTTCAAAATGGAACAAACCAGAGTGAAGTTCACATTGCAACAGAAGAAGTTTCGTCAACAAGTGATAGAGAACCCACACAGGATATCGACGAAGTCTTTGACGTAAACGACATATCAAAAAACAACACCGTTGAGACGAAGAACATAGAGAAAACAGGAGCAAAACTTGGTGACACAACTGTTGAAAAAGTAATAAATAGTTCACACGGAACAGGAGTAAAACAGTCAAATAATACGCTTCTCGAACAAGCAATCAAGATTGCCAAGAAAAAGATTACACATCCATTAATACTTTTGAAGTATCCAGGTATTCCACACAAAGTATTACACGTGGAGGCCAAGTGGAATGGCCAGTTTAAAGTTAAAGCAAACTGGAAGGATGAGTCCGAAACAGTGAAAAAATCTTCGAAAAATTCCTTTGTGAAGAAAAATAGTGTAAAATTCAAAGAAAAGACATCTAAAGGCAAGGAGAGGAACGGAGGCGACGACGAAGGAAATGACGAGTACAAATTCGATGACAGTGGTTCTAGAAATAATCTAGTGTGGAAAAAATATCGAACACTGAAAAGTGAGGTGCACTAAAACTCAGTTGTAGATATGTAAAAAAGTCGCTTGTCCAATACCTCCTATTTTGTACAGCTGAAAGCCGGCTAAAGTGTAATCAACGAAAAGTTTGTGAACCAAGAATAGCACCTGCGGGCTTTGTGCAAAGGAACTGAATACATCCGTCATTTGGAAACGCAAAAGTGAAATCCCAAGCGATAAGCAACCTTGTTGGAAGCAATTGTCAGGCTGGGCCCGAAAATTCGTCAATCATACCAAGCATAGTAATGTTCCTGCATGAGAAATGGGTAGTTCTGCAATTATCATGATTACGCTAACAACTTGCATTGCATGATAAAAATTATATCAACACGTAGTTTTAAATGACAAACCATTTGAATTTTATTATTGAAGGAGATAAGACTGACAGCACAACTGCTTCTGTGTTTTCACGTCTGACACTTCTATGATGATGTCCAAAGACCGCGGATCTTTCACACTTTTGGTGCAAGACAGAAAACCCTCAAGGGCTTGACCTGTGAAAGAAAAATGGACTGTTTTCTCTTTGTCAAGTCAAGGTAAACGTCACTTTATACAGTACGAGGCCTACCATCAATCATCGAGATTTTAGTTTAGCATCCGATTGGCCGGAAAAGTGGCGTGTGCTTTCTTGACCAATCACAGAGCGATGTACGGCAAAACCAAAGAATATAGGATTGCTTTCAACCTACGAGCTGTAGTCGCGGCATTCGTGACTTGCAAGCCATGATCATTTCGTTAAATTGATATTTAGCAAAATCGCCAGTTAAAATCAATTTTAGCCAAACTGTTTTCAAATTAAGGATACAGATTAGAAGGATGTGCATACAAAGGCATAAGTAAATAGAAGTAGAGCAATAAACGAGAATAATTAAAATAGAATGGCAAAGATTAAGTAAAAAAACTTGAAACTTTAAGTCCAATTTTTAAGATGGACAGACCATTCAAAAATATTTACGCAACGGAACTTTTTTTAATAACCACTTTCGGAACCCCGCACCTGATGTTGACGCCTATAATAATCTGTAAAACCGTAGAAAGTACGAGCACAACATATTTACCTAGACACTAAATTCACTCTAACTATAAACCAATTTACACGAGTTAGTGCCGGCGTATCAATATTCTTGATCAATTAGACCATTAACATACGAGATAATAAAAATAATTTAACTAGAACAGTTTCATTTCTTGAGATAATAAAATACATTTACTACACAAAAAGATAAATTCAAGCATTTAGAATCAGTATGTACGTTAAAATTTTATACAACAAACCATAAGATTATACATAATTTTCCCTGTAATTTGAACACAACTCGCTGTAGAAGAAAACATAAAATAGAAATAAACGTCTTTTTTGTTACCTTGGGTGACGTTGATTGGCTTCTCAAGGTAGAACACGGTTTGTTTCCAGTGTGTTGGAGAGTTTGAGGGACTGGTGCTGAAGTTGACCTGAAATACAATATGATCAACTTCAGATAATTTCAATCGTGACGGCACTTAGAAAAAGCCTTACGTTGCTTGCCGTCAGTCACAACTGGGTGGTAGATAAATACATAGACAAAGAGAATTCTACTATCACATCGATTTATTTTTCATGCAACCACTTCTTTTTCACGGTTTATTTAAAACAACGTAACGCAAAATCGACCCTTGTGATACCTTTCTATCACAGCTCTTCTCAAAGAAAATATCAAAATAAGCAGTGAACGCCTGAAAAAAAAAAAAAATTAAAATCAAATCAATTTAAAATAATAAACATTCATCCAAATTTAAATAATAAACATAAATCAAGGTAGAAAGCGTATACTTTAAAGAACAATTCATGTACCGGTATTATGAACGCAATAGTTAGTTAAACTTATTCGTAAAGCCAGAGACTTATTCTACGATCTGTGACGAGGCGAGAGATAACATTGACTGTAACCAACAGTGGTGGGAGACGAGTAAACGAAACAATAAGCTACTTACCGAACACTGACCGTCTTTATTGATTTCAATACTAAACGCTGATTTGAACTGTACATCATTTAGTTTACAACTATTTACGTTCAGTACCTATTAAAGATAGAACAGAGGAGATATCTTCAGAACACAAAGAACATTTCTCGGTCTCGTTTACATTATGCAAATAATGGAATGTTGTACCCTTGCGCTTTTTCCTAAAAGCGTGAACTTGGTTTAGATATATCAACAAAGTTGAAATGGTAAATTGNTGCTACCTAAGTGTAAGGAAAGACCGCAGATTGTCATATGTTGCTTAGAATGATTAGGTAAATTAAAGTGTCTAGCGACTGGTTTCGATGTGTCCTTGTCATTCCTTTCCACGTCTCGAAGGTGTTCTAGGAATCGGTCACCTAGTCTTCTGCCTGTTTCTTTTCTGAACTTGGTTTGTTACGTTCAACGAACAGCTGCATTTATGTAACCCATTTATTCCTGTATTATGTAGCCCATTTATTCCCATAAATGACCAATACAAAATTCCTCCTGACAATATCCAAATAATACCACGTAGAAAAGTGAAGAGAACAAAGAAAAATGTCAATTAGTGGACTACTAGTTGATCCACTATCAAATTCTCCAAACCAACACCACAACAATTGTATGTCAGACAGTAAAGAGAATTACTATGGAGATCTTGGGAGTGAAGGGTTAAATAATTATGCCATCACCACTTTCAATCGTGAACTTATACGAGGTTTTACATGCAAAATTTTCCTACTTGAAAGTATAACTATTAAAAACGGAGTAAACGAATCGACGAAGTTATAAATCAAGGAAATCATTGGACTCCTAATTCGTTCGGAGCACACTAAATGTTGCAGTCAAAATGTCCCTCTTTTAACGGGTAGTTGCAAAGTGCGGTTCGTCATCTTATTTCCCAGGGCACACTTTCTCCTGTTTCCGGAACGCTCTTACGAGAGTTGCCCGCGTCGGTATCAGGAAAAACTCTCATGGAACGAGGCTTTTGGGTTTCATTGTCCCTCAACTTTCAAATATTACCTTGACTTTACATCGAGAAGAAATCTCGTCTTTAGGATCCGTAGTTTCCACACAGGGTTCAGAGCAGACAGACTTTTTCATACAGCTCATTTGAAAGCCTGAAGAAAGAAACAGAATAAAAAAAGAGAAGTATGAGCTTCGGTAACCTTATACCAGGAAAATTTAAATCAAAATCCTAACATAAACCAAAAACTCTTGTTTAGAAAAAGTCTTACCATATACGTCATCCCAAAAGCCGAGTTTCTTTTCGACTTTTTCACTATTTCCTAAGGCAACCAGGCACAAAGTACATCGGTCTGGGTAAACTATAAGAGAAATTTGTTCATTAGATGTCAAATACAGAATTCTGTTTCAATTCTTTCCCACTTTCGTCCCATCGTCGCAACAGCGTCCCATTTACTTGACGCTAGGGATTTGTTGACGCCGATGCTGGCTACTACTACAACGTTTGCCTGGAAGGGGTCCTGTATATGTGGGGCGATAATGCGACACGACCACGATAATGTGACGCGACCACAAAAACTACATGGGGTATCTGTCTTTACCTTCATTCTCACAGGAATGCACAAATTAGCGCTGGAATGAATATTTAGGATCATCACGTGATCGGGAGCCAAAGTGCCCTAGGAACGAAGTTGCTCAGTCATCAGATATGAACGAAAAAGTGGGTAAGCGGAAAATAGAAATCGCGAGATAAACGAGGACGCAAAGAAAAATGCTGCGTCACGCAGCAACAAGAAGAACCACTTCGTCTATGGCGCGTTTTTCCTATCAAAATTCAATTTGTTACTCGTTTTTCCATACGACCTTCGTTTTTCAATTTCAGCATTCCTTTTATTCAACCTTAACATTCATTTTTCAATTTCAGTATTCCTCTTATTCAACCTTGACATTCGTTTTTCAACTTCAACATTCGTTTTATTTAACCTTGATAGTCGTTTTCTGAGTTCGACATTCGTTTAATTCAAGCGTAACATTTGTCATTCGTTTTCCTTATTTTCAACCTTGAAGTTCGTTTTACGTAACCATGACAGTCGTTTTTGAAGATCGACATTCGTTTTATTCAAGCGTAACGTTCGTGTATTGACGTCGACTTTGT